GGGGACCCAGGGACAACACACATGTGACCCCACCCCATATGACATCAATGATGTCACCTGGGGCGGGGTCACTCGGGTGATGTCCTCAGGTGGCCCTGCCCCTTACATATTTAAGAACTGTCAAGCCAGCTCAGAGGCCTGGAAGCCATAGTCGGGAATGGAACCTTTTTTTTTTTTTCGGGGCGGCGGGCATCGTGATTGACGTTGGATCTACTGCGGGGGACATTCTTTGAGTTTTCTCTTTTAATAAAGGACTTGTCAAAGACCGTGTCCTGTCTTTTTTCACACTACACTTTTTGTTTTTTATGAATTAGTAGCGGTACCATGTACGCCATACTCATTCACATGGGGGGGGGCAGGATCTGGGGGGCCCTTTTGTTAAATTTTGGTGTGGGAGTTCCCTTCAAGATCCATACCAGACCCGAAGGGCTTGGTATGGATGGGAGGAGGGACCCCACACAGAATTTTAGTTACTATGGTGCTGGTTTTTAAATGTAATTACTGTTTTTTTTTTTTCTTCACTATAGCTCAGAAATGCATCTGTCACTTTCCCCCCAGCTAAAAGAGAGAATGTTTTCTATTATTTTATTTCCCTGAGTTAAAAGGAACAATGTTTCCTTTTAGTTTCTTGAAAGAAACAAAGTTTCCTTTAACTCCAGGGAAAGCGACAGCTAATCCTGTGAGCTATAGTGAAGAAACAAAAGCCAGCAATTGCATTTAAAAATCAGCACCAACATGCACTTCGTATTGCGAAAAAAATAGTAAACAATTCGTAAACCGAGTATTATTTTCAATGGATTTTCATTTGTAAACCGAAAATTACATTAACTGAGGCATTCGTAAACAGAGGTACCACTGTACACCACTGGGTGGGTGTGGTCAATATTTAAAAGTAAAGCAGAGGGACTGGCAGTAACACCAAGTATTTCACATAAAGGGAGCAATACAAAGAGAACAGGATACTTTTTCATACCAGTAAATAGTACAGCAGGCACATACAGTAAGGTCCATAAATATTGGGACATCAACACAATTCTAATATTTTTGGCTCTATACACCACCACAATGGATTTGAATGAAACGAACAAGATGTGCTTTAACTGTAGGCTGTCAGCTTTAATTTGAGGGTATTTACATCCAAATCAGGTGAACGGTGTAGGAATTAAACAGTTTGCATATGTGCCTCCCACTTGTTAAGGGACCAAAAGTAATGGGACAGAATACTCATAAATCAAACTTTCACTTTTTAATACTTGGTTGCAAATCCTTTGCAGTCAATTACAGCCTGAAGTCTGGAACGCATAGACATCACCAGACACTGGGTTTCATCCCTGGTGATGCTCTGCCAGGCCTCTACTGCAACTGTCTTCAGTTCCTGCTTGTTCTTGGGGCATTTTCCCTTCAGCAAGTGAAATGCATGCTCAATCGGATTCAGGTCAGGTGATTGACTTGGCCATTGCATAACATTCCACTTCTTTCCCTTAAAAAACTCTTTGGTTGCTCTTGCAGTCTGCTTTGGGTCATTGTCCATCTGCACTGTGAAGCGGCGTCCAATGAGTTCTGAAGCATTTGGCTAAATATGAGCAGATAATGTTGCCCAAAACACTTCAGAATTCATCCTGCTGCTTTTGTCAGCAGTCACATCATCAATAAATACAAGAGAACCAGTTCCAGCAGCCATACATGCCCACGCCATGACACTACCACCACCATGCTTCACTGATGAGGTGGTATGCTTAGGATCATGAGCAGTTCCTTTCCTTCTCCATACTCTCTTCTCTTCCCATCACTCTGGTACAAGTTGATCTTGGTCTCATCTGTCCATAGGATGTTGTTCCAGAACTGTGAAGGCTTTTTTACATGTCGTTTGGCAAACTCTAATCTGGCCTTCCTGTTTTTGAGGCTCACCAATGGTTTACATCTTGTGGTGAACCCTCTGTATTCACTCTGGTGAAGTCTTCTCTGGATTGTTGACTTTGACACACATACACCTACCTCCTGGAGAGTGTTCTTGATCTGGCCAACTGTTGTGAAGGGTGTTTTCTTCACCAGGGAAATAATTCTTCGGTCATCCACCACAGTTGTTTTGCGTGGTCTTCCGGGTCTTTTGGTGTTGCTGAGCTCACCGGTGCGTTCCTTCTTTTTAAGGATGTTCCAAACAGTTGTTTTTGCCACGCCTAATGTTTTTGCTATCTCTCTGATGGGTTTGTTTTGTTTTTTCAGCCTAATGATGGCTTGCTTCACTGATAGTGACAGCTCTCATCTTGAGAGTTGACAGCAACAGATTCCAAATGCAAATAGCACACTTGAAATGAACTCTGGACCTTTTATCTGCTCATTGTAATTGGGATAATGAGGGAATAACACACACCTGGCCATGGAACAGCTGAGAAGCCAATTGTCCCATTACTTTTGGTCCCTTAACAAGTGGGAAGCACATATACAAACTGTTGTAATTCCTACATCGTTCACCTGATTTGGATGTAAATACCCTCAAATTAAAGTGACAGTCTGCAGTTAAAGCACATCCTGTTCGTTTCATTTCAAATCCATTGTGGTGTATAGAGCCAAAAATGTTAGAATTGTGTCGATGTCCCAATATTTATGGACCTGACTGTATCAGGAATATAAAATGTTGGGTTTACATATTCTTTAATGCTATAGTATAACCCAAAAATTCTAAACTCAAATCTTTGTGCTCAGATTGAATAATACATAAAAAGCAGCTAACACAGAAATGGCTACAATCCGTCAAACAATATATAACAAAAAACGTGCAGCACTAAAATAGTGTTAAAGTCCATAAATTGTATACAAAAGTCTGCGCTCAAATAAACTAATTGAGTGAAACCAAACCATCAAAAAAGGACGGAAAAACCCACATACAGCAAATTAAAAATGGAGGGAGACACACACCTCTAAGATCCTGCTGAAAATGATAGACATTGGGCTTCTGTATTAAAAAGCCAACAGCACTTTAGGGGTTAACACCAAACAATTCCCCAATGTGTAGCACAGAGATGGATCTGCCTGTGGCTCCGCTCCAACTCCTGTCTAGCCAGGAAAAAGGCTTCAGACCAGAGCCATCAGGAGAGGAGATAAGAAGACCTGTTGTGGTACCTGCTCACCTCTACCAGGAAGAAAGGACGGGCGGGCTTGCATCGGTGAGGAAGCAGTTCTCTAATGGAAGCACCTAGGCGGGGTGGCAGGCGGTCTGTCACATGTATTATAAATTACAGTTTTTATGCTACAGGCCTCAGGGCCTAGCCAGTGCACAGCCACGTTTTTTATTTTTTATTTATTCAACTTATTTTTCTCCCACGTTTGTTCACTTTCACTCACTGTGTGTGTTTTCTTTTCTCACGGATGGTAGGGTGTGGGTCCTCGGGCCTACCCTGAAGTCTAGGGGGAGGATGTGTGGCCTTTTGGTTCCTTCCTCCCCTGTCCCTAGGGGGTTTTCTCTTCGGGAGAGCCCCCTTACCAAGTACTTGGTGGCTGGTTTTGGGTAGGCACAAGGAAAGGGGTCCACCAGGCCTTTTGGCTAGGAGGACCACACGGGAACCTTAATCCCTGAGCTTCGTGCCCCGGGGGATCAGGGTAGAGATCCTACCCCTTCGGGGGGTGAACAAAGCACACCCCTAAGTGCAATTTTTTGTGTTGGTTTTGCACTAGCATGTTTTTTGTTCACTTACGGGTTTTTCGTACGTCCGCGGACTTAGAAAAAAAACATGTATTATAAATTACAGTACGGATCTAACAGTGGAGTTGGAGCAGAGCCACAGGCAGAACCGTCTCTGTACTACACATCGGAGAATTGTTTGGGGTTAAAGTGTTACTAAACCCAGGATCCTGCATTCACTATATTAAGTCTCCCACAATACACGCAACATGGAAATGCAATTATTTTAGTAAATACAAACTGATAAATACCTTTTCTCATCAGCAGTAAGAGTATTGTGACTTCCATCAGTGTTCAGCAGAGCACTGGTTAAAACTTGTAGGAGGAGTTTTATTTCTGCTCTAGGAGGATGCAGAACCCCTGACCTCTATCTGGACAGTGCTGATTGGCCCTGTGCTGATCACATGCACTTGCCCAAGAAAAAAAAAAACACAACTCTCTACCATTACATACTAAACATGTGCAGTATGGCTACAGGTTCAGTTTGTCTTATCAGGAGATAAGACCTGGACATTTGAACAAGAGGCGGATCAGAGAAGACAGGATCAAACAGCCTTTTTTACACAATGCAGAGGATTAACCCCTTAGGTTCCACAGTGAGTATAACAAGCATGCTTTATTACATATACAGACTGATTTTACTGTTGTGGGTTTAGTAACACTTTAACCCCTAAAGCGCTGGTGGTTTTTTAATACAAAAGCCCAATAGTTGTGATAAGAGCTCTTAGAAGGCTGTCAGTTTCACCAGGATATTAGAGGCGTCATCTCCCTCCTTTTTGGGTTTCTCCGTCTCTTTCGATGGTTTGGCTTCACTCACTCAGGTATGAGCACGGACTTCTGTATACAATCGCTGCACTTTATTTGGCGCAGCCCTTTTTTTGTTATGTATAGTATACCCCAGGCTGCTATGTATTACAGACATGTATCTTTGGAATCCGTATGTTTTTAAAAACCGACACTGAACTAGTAATCCCTTAGATTATACTCCGTGGCTACGCACCATTCATCGATCACAAGGACACTTCCTCCATGTCTGCAGGCGCTCTGTTAGTTTGGATTTTCCCTCCGCCCACACTGCCCTCTCTGGAAGCACACGGAAATCACATGACATGACGTAACCTGACGCAGTGGAGGAAGAATCTGAGCTTGGCGGAAGTGCGGGCAGGTGGGTGAAGGGGCGTGGTTGTGAGGTCTTCCGGGTTGACCCAGGCAGTTTAGACTGGGCGACGGCTGACTGTTGCTGTGTTTGCAGGGAGGTGCGCTGTGTGTGGCGGAGCAGACGAGGAGATCCTTCGGTACGTGTAGAAGGCAATCGGAGACCATGGCTTACTACAATAACCAGCCCCGTCCTCGTGGCGTTCCTGATCAGAGCTTCCTCGTCAGTGTCTTCCAGAGGTAAGTGTCTGTACCTTCCTGCTCCTAGTCATGGTACACGTTGTCTGGCCGGTTTCTTGTGTCTGCTATCTCCCTCAAATAAACTTTTTTTTTTTTTTTCTGGCTGAAACACAGAAATGTAATGTGAATAAAGTCTGTATTTCCGTCCCCAGCATTCAGGCTACGTTCACACTAGCGTTGTGTGCAGGCGGCAGAGAGGCGTTTGGGAAGCGTTTTTACTGCTTCCCAAACGCCTCTGCCAATTCTTCACATTACAGCAGATGGTGCTGTTCTCACGGGAGCGTTTGCGTCGCGGCAAAACGGACGTCTCTGGTCGAGTCAGGAGGCGTTGAAGCCTCTTATTCTAGTCTATGGTGCTGCTCCGCAAACGCCCGGCCGCCGTTTGCGGTGGTGACGTGGTTGCGGGGCGTTTGCGGAGCGGTAACACCATTCAAACTGCGTTATAGGCGTTTGTGGGGCGTTTTTTATGCTCGGCAAATGCCTAGCAACCGCCGCTAAACCGCACATGCGGCGTTTGCCAAGCGTTTAAAAAAATGCTCCGCAAGCGCCTGACCAACGCTTGCCGAACGCTATAGGGGCGTTTGGCAAGCGTTTGTAAAACAGCCAAGTGTGAACGAGCCCTAATGTGATGTCTGTTAGCTCCTGATCACATCCAGGGGCGGACTGACCATTTGGAAACTCGGGCACTGCCCGAGGGCCCGGGGTCAGTAGGGGGCCCCATGAGATGCCCCTGGTACCTTTTTTCATAGGCTTTTTTGCGTTTGGGCAAGGACACAGGGGCCCCATGATCCCCTATTGCCTGGGGGCCCCATGATTTGTCAGTCCGCCCCTGATGACATCTCTGCTCAGTCTTCTTCTGGGTGCTCCATCTTTAGCCATTTGGACTGGCCTGCCCGGGGTGACACAACGTATACGTATCTGCACGTGTGGTCGTTTTGGACGGCGTATCTTCCACACACATGCCCCAGTCTTCCCGGCACCAATGCGTTGTGAGAGTGTACACTGATCTGCGTATCATGACTCGGTGTATGTAAGGGGACCCCAGCTGTCTTCCTATGAATGGACATTGTTTATTTAGTCATCGGTCACACTGATGTGTGCAATTTCTGACGACTTCAAATGCTACTTGTGAAGTTTTTCAATGATTTCCTGCAATTTGCAGTGCGTTTTCCATTATGTTCTATGTATGTTTGAGGTGATTGTAGCCGTATTAGTGCATTTGCGACAAACAATTGAGTTCTGTCCGTGATACTTTTTTTTTATTTGCGCTAACATACAATTTTGAGGACAAGCTTTTGGGTATGTCCCCTTCTTCAGGTCTAAGCAGTACTGTACAAATCACAAAGTTTCAGCAGAATGTTAGAAGAGATGGAAAAAAAAAAAACAAAAACAAAAAAAAACCATTCTGCTGAAACTTTGTGATTTGTACAGTACTGCTTGGACTTTGAAGAAGGGGACATACCCGAAAGCTTGTCCTCAAAATTGTAAGTGCAAATAAAAAAAGTATCACGGACAGTACTCAATTGTTTGTCGCAAATTTTATTATTTATTTCAGGTACTTATATAGCGCCATCAATTTACGCAGCACTTTACATATATATTGTACATTCACATCAGTCCCTAACCCTCAAGGGGCGTACAATCTAAGGTTCCTAACTCACATTCATACATACACATATTAGGGCCAATTTAGACAGGATCCAATGAACCTACCAGCATGTCTTTGGAGAGTGGGAGGAAACCGGACTACCCAGAGGAAACCCGCACAGGGAGAACATGCAAACTCCAGGCAGGTGGTGCCATGGCTTGGATTCGAACCAACGACCCTAGTACTGCCAGGCGGAAGTGCTAACCATTTAGCCACTGTGCTGCCCGCAAATGCACTAATACGGCTACAATCACCTCAAACAAAGTTTTAGCAGAATGTTAGAGATGTGGGGGATTGAGAAAAAAAGGCAGAAAGAAACACAAGCCTAAGGTTAGCCTAGAGATAAGATACAGCAAAGCAAAGGCTGGGGGAGGGGGAACAGTACTGCTTGGACCTTGAAGAAGGGGACACTCCCCCGAAAGCTTGTCCTCAAAATTGTATGTTAGTGCAAATAAAAAAAAGTATCACGGACAGTATGAATTGTTTCTGTTCTATGTATGTGAAATTGCAACAAAAGTACAGAAAAAGTAATGAAGGAACTACTAGAAATCGCACATGGTAAGACACTGACATTCACATTCATCAATTTAAATTCGAAAATTGCATCGGTGTGACCGGGCACTTACACACATAGCGTGGCTCGGCCCTTCCCCCCTCTCTCTCATTGGCCTACTGGCTGTGATTGACAGCATCAGGAGCCAATGGCTTTAGCTGCTTTGTGAGCCAATGGTGAGAGAGACCAGGCGCTCATGCACAACGCTGGATCGAGTTGGGACTTGGGTAAGTTTTAGGGGGGGCCGGAGGGGGTAGCTGCACCCAGAAGGTTTTTTCATGCATAGAATTCATGAAGGTGGAAAAACTTTATGCCTTAAAACAATAGGCAAAACTTTTTTTCTTTTCATTTTGGATAGAGCAAGAGAGGCTTATAACTTGTGTCAAATTTTTTTTTCCGCCATCTATGTGCCATTGCAGAGATTTCTCTTCACTTCCTGTCTCATAGTCAAACAGGAAATCCCTTCAAATTAAGGTAATTCCTCAGGTCACCAGATCTAATGTCCTCATTGGAAAATTTTATTTTCTGAGGACAACCCAAAATTTGTGATTTTCTTTTACTTTCATGATAATGGTATACAGGGCAAATAGGGAGGGCGAATTTCCTTAATGGGGGGGCATTGAACATTGACATGTGAAATATCTATTCAGACAGCAGCCAAATAACCTACCAGCATGTCTTTGTGGGAGGAAACCAGAGTAGCCAGAGGACACTCACACAGGCACAAGGAGAACATGCAAACTCCACGCAGGTTGTGCTTTATGCAGCAAAGCTGCACTTCCACAGTTCTCTAGGCGAGAATTTCTGCCCCCACTTGTGCGCAGATGTGCCATGGGTCTTTGGTATCAGGAGAGTCCTTCTGCACACGTGCAGCGCCCCCCCCCCAGCATCGGAGCACGTGTGGGGATTCCTATACACTCGCAAAGACTTCGACCAGGGAAGGCTGAAAACTTGTCTTTGTGTGTGCGCGCGCGCGTGCGTGGTATATCGGCTGCATGTGTGCAGATGTGTCGATGGGTTCTGCCAGATCCCGATCGCTGGGCTGAGCCCGTGGGTACTTCTTTCATGTACCATAATGGAGGTGCCTGGGGGGGGGGGGGGGGAGCTAGCCTTCTGGGAGGCTTCCGACGAATATTTGCTGTAATTGCCTCTAGTTTAGTTATCTACAAACTGGAGGAAATTATTTTTGAATTTGCTGCAGCAGTTGGTCCTAGAGGCCTCCTCACCACTGAATCCTTATTTTTTTTTTTTTTCCCCAGTGAAATAGTTTCTTCCTGTATTTTTCTACTTCCTTGTAACATCCTCTGAGCTGCCGAACGTCTCCTTTTCCCACTCATTACTGTTTGTTAGAAATGAGCAGTGCAAGTTATTTGCAGCCATGTGCTCTGTTCTATGCATACTGCCGATCACATAGTCCATAGTACATCTCCGGATCACATAGTCCATAGTACATCTCCGGATCACATAGTCCATAGTACATCTCCGGATCACATAGTCCATAGTACATCTCCGGATCACATAGTCCATAGTACGTCTCCGGATCACATAGTCCATAGTACGTCTCCGGATCACATAGTCCATAGTAGGATCCATAGTCCATAGTACGTCTCCGGATCATAGTCCATAGTACGTCTCCATCACATAGTCCATAGTACATCTCCGGATCACATAGTCCATAGTACGTCTCCGGATCACATAGTCCATAGTACGTCTCAGGAGTGACCGAGAGAGGGTGGCTGAGTTTCCACCAACTGCCCTCCACCTCTTATAGTGGCTAGAGATCTCTAGAGTGGTGCCAGCAGCAGGAAAGACGAGCTCTTCAGATCAGTGTGAAGCAATACACTGGACATTATAGTATATGGCTGCTTTCACACTGATACACTGCTGTTTACCCACACCGTGGGTGCAGTGCAGTGTACCTGCAGTTTTCCTGCGGGTTTGCTGCACTTAGCCGTAGACTTTTCTATCATGCGGGTTTGGTGCACTTTCTGAAAGCACACCAAAACTCCTGAGTGCAGGAGTACAAAAAACAACTAAATTCACCTACGAACACCTATACTAGCACCTAACCAGGGGTGGACTGATCATTTGGAAACTCGGGCACTGCCCGAGGGCCCGGGGTCAGTAGGGGGCCCCATAAGATGCCTCTGGTACCTTTTTCATAGGCTTTTTTGAGTTTGGGCAAGGACACAGGGGCCCCATGAGTTGTCAGTCCGCCCCGCACCTAACTAGTAGGGTGCTACATTTGCTGCTGTAAGTGACTCAACCACAGGGTTTTACCACCCCTCAACTTTACGTATGAATGAGCCCTAAGAATGCCACTGCCGAATGCAACTAATGGCTCATTTAAAAATGCAGCAGGCACTGCAGCTCCTCTGAAAAGTGATCCGAGCGAGATTGAAAGGTAGCGAGGAGGCGATACGTTGCCTCCTCACCACCTGATTTAAACCCATGATTGTCGTCTAATGCACGCGAGTACGACTCGGTAGTACGACAATTTAAATCGGGTGTGAGGAGGCGACGCTGTGCCCGGGGATCTTTGACTTTCTCCCATGTTGTTCAGGTAGATCTCCACCTTTTTAAGGTTGCCTACCCTTGCTCTAAGAGTAAAAGTCAGTTCACAGCAGGAAAAAAAGGAATTTGGAGGAGACTGAGAGCAGTAGAAGGTTCTTTTTGAGTTTAGAATACACTTGAATAGACTTTTCTTTGTTTTAAACCAAAGTTTAGTGTCCAGACTTTAGGCTAAATGTACTGCTGCACCTTCAGCACAGTATGAGAGCTCTGTGTGGGAAAGGCGGA